CCTTTTAATGAAGTGAGGACATATGGGGATTTAAAAGGGCTGTAGAGATTAGGATGGAAGATTGAGGAACAGGCAATGGGCGCCCTCGTCTGGTCATTTTGGTTGATTGCAATTGCAACTATACCTTGTCTCCCAGTAATCCCAGTAATGCAGTATTGATTGATATTATGCTACAAGTCTGTATGAGGAGCAGTGACAGCTAAGGATTTCCTCAAGCGCTGTAATAATAATAATATGCCTCTCAAAGGTATTAGACTTTATAACACCAACACTAGGTCATCATTTGTAATAGGAAGCATATTCAGACGCTGGACATTAAAAAAAAAAGTAACAAACATGTTTTAAAAAACATCCTTTTGAGTTGTTGAGTACTGGAGATATCGGCCATAGAGATGTCTGCCTTCTTTCCACTATAATCACACTAGATGGTGCTTGGTTTGTGGTGCTCAAAGTGGCAAAAGAAATATACTTTAAAAACTCAACAGCAATGTCTCTTTCTAGAAATCATGACCGGGTTACTCAAGATAATCCACAGACCTTGTTGTAGGTAGTTTCACATAGGAACTACTTTCTTTCTACTGAACCACACCTGCCAACCATATCACAAAAAAACAGCTACTGCTAGCCCACCTAGCATCACTGAGCTAGCCAACGTTACAGGCTACATCTCATGCTGACGTCCATTAGTAGATGTACACTTCCTTATGAGCTGTGATACATTTGGCAGGTGTGGTTGCTTAGAAAAAAAAAGTTCCTATATGAAACGTCCACAGTAAGGACTGTGGATTATCTTGAGTTATCAGCTCATAATTCTTTGAAGAGACATTGCTGTTGAGCTGCTGTTGCTGCCAACCATATCACAGCGCATAGGGAAGCATATATCTACTCGTCACGTCAGTGTGAAATGTAGCCTACATATTATTGGCATTGCTGTTACGTTAGCTAGCTCAGTGCTGCTAACTAAGCTAGCAGTAGTATCCTTTTGTGATACGTTTGGCAGGTGTAGTTTGGTAGAAAGAAAATAGCTCCTACATGAAACTGCTCACAACAAGGTCTTTGAATTATCTTGAGTAACCAGATCATGATTTCTGAAAAGAGACATTGCTTTTGAGTTTCTGAAATGTATTTTTTAGCGCTTTGTGCACCATTAGTGAGTGAGTGCTGTCTAGTTCTATATTCGAAAGAAGGCAGACATCTCTACTCTGTAACGTTACCTCACATCAAAACAACCAAGACTGATAAATGGTGCTACAGGTAAGAAGAAAATGTGTATTTTGATTTGGGGGTTGAAGCTCTCTTTATCCTCATAGGCCTATGACACAGTTTTATCTAGCTACGAGGTGTTGTATCAAACTGTGTTTCCCTGTCAAACAGTGTTTCCCTCCCCTCAGTGATTAGGGTTAGGGCCAAGTGGTTGGGTAAGGTTTATGTAGAGAGAAACACATATTGACAGGGCAACAGACTCTGACACAAGATGAATAGTGTTGGAGAGGGTTAGGGCCAAGTGTTTGGGTAAGGTTTATGTATGGGGAAACATACTGACGGGGCAACAGACTTTGACACAATACTAATAATGTTTGTCAGGGTTAGGTTAGGGTTAGGTTCTCAGTCATCCAGGTCATGGTAATCCTGAGAGTGTTTCACCTCTCATCCAAGAGTTCTTCTTTAGTTCTGAACTTCATAAAGTAAAGAAAACTGCCTATTGGTCTGACATCCCATTGTTCCGACCATATTAAACCCATTGTTCCGAAGTCCGTTCCGAAATCATCATGATGCCCTGTGGTTAAGGTCTGGTTAGGTTTAGGCACAAAAACCACTTGGTTAGGGTCAGGAAAAGATCATGGTGTGGGTTAAAATGAAAAAGAAAGTAGCAAACACATAAGCTGTGAGCCTGCTCCACCTCAAGCCTTTCCCAGCTGACCCAGAGCCGGTCATGGCGCACCATCAAGGCAGAAATACGCCCGCCGGGAGCCGTTCAGCACTGCGGACTGTCGGACTAATGGGATGTCGGTCCAATGGGCTGTCGGACCAATGACATGGACCCAAAGTAAAGAAGCCTTGACTGAGAGGTGAAATGTCAATGTTAACTCAGCTAATACAGCTGACACTAATTTATTTATGTTATCTAACTGTTATTCCATTTGAATGTATAGCAACACGTTGTATGGAGGTAAGTTAAAGCAAAACTTCTGTTAACAAATGCAATTGATTTCTTTCTGGCCTTTATTCCCTGGACAACTAGTTAAGTTACAGTCATTTGCTACTTAGCTAGCTTAGTTTAGGTTTCAGCAGCACAGAGTCTAAGGGTATACTAGAAATAGAAAATAATAGAAACTGACCAAGAGTGAATCAGGTTATGTTATGTATCATCAACATTACAGCATGGTACGGCAATGTGAGTGCAAAGAGCAAAAACAAGCTCTCTAGGATTGTCAACATTGCAGGAAAAGTCACTGGTAAGTCACAGAAACAACTCAGCAATTTATTTGACAGTGCGGTACGCAGGAAGGCAAAACAAGACAAGGGTCCCAAGAAGCAGTCAGAACATATATAAGGAGTTCTATCTATCTATCCATCTATCTATCTATCTATCTATCTATCTATCTATCTATCTATCTATCAGTGAGGGCTGGCATATCAGGTGAGAGCACTGCCCTCTGTAGGTAGGGTTAGAAAGAGTTTCCTGCCTTTATAAGGACAATAATACAACTACAACATTAAGATATAACAAGATTTCAAAGTGTTAGATCACGTGTTTGAGTTCATGTGTGTTGGGTACATGACTGGGTTGATTTTAGCCATGAGTTCATCTTAGATTTAAAACCAGCAAAGCTTTTGCACTGTCTTATCTCACTTGGTACTGAGTTCCAATAGTTTGTAGCTCTAATGGAGATCTACCAAACTCAGTAGAAACTCAGTTGACCATCCTACATTGTCTGAACTCTTTAAATGGAGGAGCAGCCAGATCATTAATCACTTTGTACACTAGACTAGCATCATCAAGACACACAAAGCTGTCAAAGGTCAGTAGATTCTGCCTTTGAATGATGCTACAGTGGTGATAACATGATGGGTTTTTTGTCCAGTGCCTACAGTGTTTGCAGTGGGGCAAGTGTTGTTTTTCCAGCTTGTGATGATCTTGTAAATCAGTATGAAATATGCTAAAAGTTAAATGTATGTATATTTTTGCTGCATCTAAGGGGGGCTGGTTTCGAATATACCTAAAGTTCCAATGGGTAAACCAACTCAACCTTGCTTCTCACAAGCCAATCCCAACTTCCTCCACTAGATGGCAGTGGTGCTTCTGCCTTTTTCTGTAGTAACAACAGGCAAATGTACAGTATGACAGACTGAGCTCCACACCTGCCATGTGGAGATGCACTCACTCTATTTCACATTAGACACAGTCCACCACGGGCTTCTTCGATTTCATGCTACTCCCCAGAGCCCGGCCACTTGAAAGAGACCAGTATTTCTCAGAGATGGGACACAGTGAGCTGCACCCTAATAAAGATCATACATTAGTGGGTGCTCCAAAGTCCCCACCATGCTGTATTCATTTGTATGGCTCGGCAGTGATGATCCAAACCATATGAGGAGCTGAGTGGATCTGCAGAGACCCAGTGAAGAGGCAGGGCCACCCACAGCCAACGCTCGCTGCTCTCTTTCCTCCCCTCCTAGGTCAGGCAGCATTCTTTCAGTGCCCTTGGGATCTCCGCTGAAGAAGGCAACATCACTCACAAAGACTTAGATATACTACAGCATATGCTACCTTCATTTCCACCCCCCACCAACGATCAAAAGGGGAACATAAAAAAAAAGGGGGTGACAGACAGATGGGCAGACTCACATTACTCTGGCGTTAGTGCATACCTCTCAGTGTCAGGGGTGAATGAGTGCAGGAGGAGAGGGGAGCAGTGCAGATGTTCTGATCAAACATGATGATAATGCAGATTAGGCAACCCGGGTGGGTCGTTTTTGAAAACCGTATGGTGTCTGGTGTACAGATATTGTATATATATCCACAGTGTCCCAGTGTTTTCAGTCTATGCTGTGGTCGTCTGCGTCTGAGCATCGGCTAAAAATGAGCGCACATGAATGTTCATGATAAGCTTCAGCATTGGTGTGTTTATTGAACTTGATATATTGCTCAAGGGCAGACCACCTTCACTCCCACTCCTCCCCTCGTCTCTCTGTATCAGTCTAACCGCAGCTGTTGAGTGAAATATCAGCATTCATTGATAAAACCAGACAGTCAACACTATGAGGTATGACGTTTGTCATCATGGATATTTTTAGGCACTTGATATTAAATTATTTTAGAATAATATGGCCTGAAACCCTTTTAGTAACCCCTTTGCTTCGGTGGTTCTTCCTTTGCTCTGAGTTTACACCACAAAGAAACACAATTTAAGGTCAGAGCTGGAGCACGTCACCTCATAAGATTATTGTTTGAACACAATCATGAGATAAGAAATAAGTGTGTAATTTAAATCAGCCCCACAGAGTCGCTTATAGACAGAAAACTTCCATGATCAAACAGTGTATGATTTATGAGGAGAGCTGTGCCACAGAAAAAGAGAGAAATCAGACTAAACAGAACAAAACACAAGAAAAATAAACTTCTTAAAAGGTCACACTCAGAGCTTATTATGCAATAAAGTATTTTCCCAAATACCTGAACAGCTAATTCAATTAGTCCATTCAGACGCTGCATGAACTTAATTCAAAGTTTAATAATGAAAAAGCTAATCTAAAAACCCCGCTCTAAATCTTTTCTAGGAATTAATTAGTCTTTAATGAGTCTAATATGGTGTGAAAATGTTTTGTGAGGTCATTTAAGTGCCCAGCGTCTGGCGCTGGAGGGCATGGATCATTTCCCGACTCTGGAAATTGAGTCAGAGTCAAACTGTGTCCTGCCCTGGCTTATTACTGGCTGAGAGGATCGCCCATCCCAGCAGCATAATTCCATCTGGGCTAAATATTTATACAGAGGGGGAACGACATCACTTATCCACAACACATTCATTCACATAAGGGAGAGCTACTTCCAGAGTTGACTTAGAGTGATCCGCCGCGTTTGCCAGAGGAACATCACTGCTTCTTTATCTGATATTTGCATCTGAGGGGAGATTTCAGGACAGGAAAAAAAAAGCAGGTTTTGTGCTAACAAGAGTACACGATGATCTTTTTCATTCCTGTTTTTGGTGTGATTCTCACTTTGTATCAGATTGGGAGGAATCCTGCCGGTGGTGAGTGGACTTTTTCCTCTCTGTCTCTTTTTTTTGTAATATTGAAAAAGCAAACCACCAGTGTGTCATGCTTTTAAAATAACTGCATGAATCCTCTTGGAGCTATCATACTGATGAGGTGCTTTTTCCCAGTAGTCATATTTATGTACTATTACCTCAGCCTTTTTGAAAAAATAGTGCAGTAGATCAGTTATCTTTGTATATATATACTTTTTAAAGTTGGAGACAGGTGTTACATACCAGCCTTTTTAATACCACAGTTTCAAATTTAGCCATTTTGTTTAATGGATATGACTAGAAGAAGTCCAGCTGACTGTAAATCATAATGCTATAATACATTTTTATGTGTTTATACATGAGTTTATATCTGTTGTTGTGTTTTATGTATGCTCCGTTTTCCAGCTGGGATGTGCTGGCTGCAGCAGAGTCAAGACCAAAGGTGCGACATGGTGCTGATGAGAGGGGTGACCAGAGAGGAGTGCTGTGCCGGGGGCCGCCTGGACACAGCGTGGTCCAACACCAGCCTGCCCATGAATGAGGTCAGCCTGCTGGGCTTCCTGGGGATCGTCTCCTGTAAACCATGCAAAGGTAAACAAACAAACCTTTAAAAAAACTAATGAGTTGAAGGAATCAATTACTTGCTTTGCTTTATCACTGCAGGGGGGCACGGTATTAGTCATTGTATGTAACCCCAAAGTTAAACTGCTTTAAACCCACATTTAAATTCCTTACAGTCACGTTGTGAGTAAACATTATAATTAAATCTAACTGGACTGGCTGCTACTGTGAGTGGTAGTTTTTAAGGTAAGTACTGGGAGTTTTAATCACAGCTTAGATATTATTTGCAGACTCAAACAGGAGGTTTAACTTGTGTTTAAAATATCACAGGGACAAAAACTGGCTACTCCGTTACACTAAATAACTCATGTCTCTCTGCGGAGAGTCAGTGAAAGTTAATTCAAACCACGCCATTTGTGAATCAAGATATTTACACAATGAGTTCCCGCCTGCTGCAGCTTTCTAACAAAATGCAGACGTGGATCGAGAAGAGGCGTTCCACATAACTCCACCCAGCTGTCCTGAGACGCTTCCCCTCCTGGAATCTCTGCGAGGTTCATTCAGGTTCACTTTGCAGATAAATTATGTTTTCATGAGCAGCACTTGCACTATGTGATCAGAGGCCAAAAATGTGAATTTCTCCATGCTGATAAGGTCCAGCAAAAATCTAGCTACTGGCATTTTTGGGGAGAACACACCCGAGAGAGCGCAACTTCAGGTTTTTCTGGCGTCGTCGCATGGCTCAGAAATAGAGATTGGACTTAGATAAACCTGAAATACGCAGAGAGAGACCACAGTCAAAGGTAGCCTGCGGCTTTGTAAAAAAAAGACTCTCACATAAAGGTAAACAGCTGTCAAATGGCAAATGAATGAAGTTGGTCGAATCGCAACTTCAAACCCTCTCCATCCCTCCTTTCATTATGTGTTCACTTTCTTTAAAGCTTGTTAAAATGGAAAGCAAAAGCAAAATACGGAAAAACATTCCTGCAGGCTGGAATAAATGCCTGCCACATGCCCAGATGTCTGGGACTCATAATGTGCTTCACTAACTTGATCATTTGGAATTCTGTGGGAGGAAAACGTCAGTATCGTGAACGACACGTCAGTGAAAGTGTAACAGTGGCTGGTTACTTCAGAGGAAGACATCATCACAAGACTGTTTTTAGAGGTGTACGCAGCAAGAGTGAAAGATGGCAAGGGACCAAAAGTTAGATCAGGATGGTCATATTAAAAAAAAAACAGCTCTGTAATAAAACAGGATATTGAAGTGCTGGTAGAGACAGGAAATAAAAAATAAGTTCCTCATTGTTTACAGAATCCTCAGGACTCAGAGCCGATCACACATCAACTGTAAAGGCCCTGGGAAGAGACCTGTTTGCATTGTCTCATGTTGACTCTGCACTGTGTAGGATTACACTTCCTCCTGTGCTTTGACATTATGGGGTGTCAGAGGAGCCCGGGGCTTCCTCCTTTCTCAGCCTGTAAACTTCTCTGACAGCTATTTGAACTCCGTCTACCTCCAAAGCCCCTCTGCAGGAGCTTAGCCCAGTCTGTGTGCAGCCGTACACATAGATCTGTTATGAAAACACGCCAGCCTCACATTCCACCAGGCGAGACGCCCCTGTGTGTAACGGTCAATAAAGAGATGTGATTATTGTAAATATTGTGCAAGGTGAAAATTGTGTTATGGTCTGGGAAAACCCCAGAACTCAAGCTTGTTTTGTATGAAAATGCCTGCAGATCACCTGATGTCTGCATACTTGTTGATACAGTAACATTACACTGACACTGCGCAGAGCTCACGCACATATGAAACCACTCGCTGTGCTTTTGTAGAGACTTGCGAGGGAGTCAAATGCAGTCCAGGGAAGGTTTGCAAAATGAAGACGGGAAGGCCTCAGTGTGTGTGCTCTCCAGACTGCTCTCACATTACCCGGAAGCACGCTGTGTGCGGCAGCGACGGGAAGTCATATAAGGATGAGTGTACTCTGCTGATGGCTCGCTGCATGGGGCACCCGGACCTGGAGGTCATGTACCAAGGAGACTGCAAAAGTAAGATTTGTCTGAATTTTCGAGACAAGCTGTTCTGCACAAACTCAAAATATCACACTCTTACATTTGCTGATTGTCCTTCTTTCTTTATGCCTTGCAGAGTCGTGCTCCAGCGTGGTGTGTCCAGGTACCCACACCTGTGTGACTGACCAGACCAACAGCGCTCACTGCGTCATGTGCCGCACAACTCCTTGCCCGATCCCAATGCCATCTGAGCAACAAATCTGTGGCAATGACAACATCACTTATCCAAGCGCCTGCCACCTCCGCCGGGCCACCTGCTTCCTCGGACGCTCCATAGGAGTCCGCCACTACGGCCACTGCAACAGTAAGGCTACAAAAATCTACCTGTCACCTCCTCTTTGTACCAGTCTGTCACAATGACGACTCTACAGCTTTCATGTCTCTCTTTTTTGTGCAGATCCTCCCCGGAAACCTCAAGATTTGGAAGGCAGCGAGGAAAACGCGGTCTAGGTGGACACCTCCAGACACAGTCCTTTATCAAGAGACGAATTAGCTGACAAATATCTCCAAGTGTCACGCCACTAGCTTCCCGTGATGACTTTTTTTAAATTTGACAATCACTCCCCCTCCTCTTTGTATACAGAATGACGATATATTTCAAAGACCTCTGTTGGAAGACATACAACAGTGTAACTGCCTCAAAAAGAGCTACAAAACCCTGTGAGCAATTTGTCTTAGTTTGGAAAATGGAGGCAGATGAACACACGTGTCTCGAGATAGAAATATCTCATTGGCTCTTTGGGAGATGTGTGCATACTGTAAATAGAATACCACTACTATTTATTGGAGAAGGTATCAAACTCTATTTATGTTTTTATCCTAGTAACAAATCCATATATCCTTGGGAAAGCTGATGCATAAAATGTATTTATTGTGTTTTGTTTATTGTGTGTGTACAATATTGGCTGCTGGCATTGGCATTTTACGACTTTTTACAGTTTTTACATTCTCCATATTCCCCGCAAACAAGCAGTCCCCCCCCCCCCCCCCCCCCCCCCCCCCCCCCCCCCCCCCCCCCCCCCCCCCCTCTTGAGCGGATGGAAAGCCTCACTAATATGTTTGGAAGGTTGATACCACTTTATAGTCAATGTGGTTTCAATTCACCACAAACAAGAAGACAACAGCTACAGTTGGGCTGTATGTACTTACGCTTTCCGTCTGGAGGTGAGGAAGGGGCTCAGTCTAAACAAACCTGTACAGTCTCCCCCACACGCATGTTTACTCTGGATCCTGATCCAAACTCTCGGCCACCCGCTGATCACTTAAATTAACAGTTTGCTTGTGTTTGTAGGAGTCTCAGAGGACTGTTGGTACAACCCTAAGCCCTCTACAATACCGCCTCTGTTGAGTCCTTGGATTTGTTTTGTAAACGCATTTTTGTAGATCATGCTCGTTCCTTCCGTTGCTGTTTTGCTGCTTTGATTTGATTGGTAACTTTTAAAGAACTTACCGGACAGACAAATGTAATCAGCACAGTCTGATTGAAAGGAAAATCAAATTTGTCTGAGAATAAACTGCCAATTGAACATACCTGATTATGGTCATCAGTGATGATGAGATAGTCTGTTCACCTAGTGGTAAATCCGGTAGATATCGACACGAATAGTCAAATGGTCAATTGAATCTTTAAATTCAAAGCAGATGTCTTAAATACTTTCAGTAATCCTTATTTTGTTTTATGGAACATCTCAATGTCTCTCCTGTAAATAACAGTCTCATGTGTACCTACCTGTGTACCTACTGTGAAATTTGAATGACAAATGCATCAACATATTTTTGTATTTTTGTACTGCCATTTCAAAACAACATAAAGTTTAATATTTGTCACAATGTCTTGTCTTTCTCTTATAACTTTTAAAACTGGAACATGCTTGATCTTCACTTTGCAACCTGCTTTTCTCAATTTACCTCAACACGTTGTACAAATTATCAGAGGTGTGGACTCTGACTGGATTTGAGTCAGATGCGAGTCACAAATTTGAAGAATTTAGACTGGACTTGACAAAGCCAGAAAAAACAACAACTTGCAACTCGACTTGGACTAAACCACCAGTGACTCATGACTCCTCTTGAGCTGGAACCTTTTGACTTGAAAATACTTGAAAATACCCCCAAGCCAATTCGGGAACAGAAAGTTAGAGACATTTTCCAAATACTAGATGAATATAACACAACAAAACAGGACAGAAATATGTAAAACTAATTCTGTTGTGGGAGAACACTGGTTATTAGTGCTATGTGCTGTGAGAGTGCAATGTCAGCACTGCTTTTCTAATAAAGTTCAGTCGCACTTGTTTTTACAAAATAGTACAATCTTTAAAATGTCATTCATTTATTCATTTTCCGTAACCACTTATCCAGTTGGGGGTTGCAGTGGCTCAGCTGACACTGGGTGAGAGGTGGGGTACATCCTAGACAGGTCACCAGACTATCATAGGGCTGACACGTAGAGACAGACAACTATTCACGCCTACGGCCAATTTAGAGTCACCAATTAACCTGCATGTCTTTGGACTGTGGGACGAAGCTGGAGTACCTGGAGAAAACCCACACTGACACGAGGAGAACATGCAAACTCCAAGATGGAAGATCAGCAGCTCAATCCCTGGCTCCTCCTGTTCGCATGTCGACGTGTCCTTCAGCAAGATACTGAACCCCCAGTTGCTCCCGATGGCTGTTCCATCAGTGTGTGAGTGTGTTAAAACCAAGCAGCAGGTGGCACCATGTATGGTAGCCTCGGCCACCAGTGTGTAAATGTGTGTGTGAATGGGTAAATTTGACTCGTAGTGTAAAGCGTCCCTTGAGTCAGAAGACTAGGAAGGCACTATACAAGTGCAGGTCCATTTACTATTTACCAATTCCACACAGAAGGGCTCCCACAACCTGGGCTCCGAAGCCCCCCATCCCAAACTCAAACCAGGAACCCACTTGCTGTACGGTGACAATGCTAACCACTGTGCCACCAGCTCAAAGTTCAAAGCTCAAAGTTTAGGACTTGACTTAGGACTTGTCAGTCTTGACTTGGGATTTACCCACCTTGACTTGGAACTTGAACTGAGACTTGAATGCAACGACTTGAGACTTACTTCTGAGTTGCAAACCAATGACTTGGTCCCACCTTTGATCCTTAACAGCGCACACAGCACTCTACAACTGTGAAACTGTATCTGACATTCATGTTACGATATTTGGATTTTTCCAAACTGTGTCACCGTCTTAATCATAGCCAGTTTCAGCCAGATGAGATCATACTTGCACCCTAAAGGAAACTGGACAGCTTTCCTCTCATGCCGAAGTTTTAGGGTGGTGGGTGAGGCTCCAGCGGCCAGCCAGGCACTCAGTTTATGCGTGCAGTGGTGGTTAGACCTCCTCTCCTGTGCGTGCAGTGGCTGAGTCGCCTCTCCGACAGGTCTCTCGAGGCCTCATGCGAGTACCGGCAGAGAATCAAATCTAGGCTGGGCAGCTTTTCCCCCCTTGTCTCCTGAGGGATGTCCCCCTGCTCTGGGTTAGGTGGGTGGGTTAGGGGGATGGAGGGCAAAGGAATTGAGGAATGAATGTTTCGAAGTGCTGAGGCCTGGGTACTGACTCACTTCCCTGTATAAAGTACCTCCCTTGTTTTTCTGTCTTTCTCTCTCCTTCCTCAGAATCCTGCGCTCCGCCATGCACCAGCATCTGGTTCAACTTTAGGGAGATGTTTATATTCCTGTCCAAGTACCCTTTTATTACACTGGGAATGGAATTAGATGTTTTGTTAGTTCGAACAGGGCAAATAACAATGCCACCGAGGGGTTGTTGCTGTGCCCACACATAAAACACACGTTGTGTGTGTGTCTTTTAATGTTTCCTGTGCATTGTGTGTAAAATTATATATGATTGATCGATCCAAAGAGCCACACAAACATACTGGTCACATTTAGTCATCAGGCATGCAGACATGACATCAGTGTGGCCCACTGGGCATGTCCAGGCAGAGGACCACTTCTGTCCAGTGAGGCCTCCCATGCTACTTCAGTTCATCTTTGGGATTACATAGAGACCTACTCCAGATCTAAACTTACCTAATCTACACCTCATTATATAAGATGTATGTGGAAATATAATGTTAAAGACAATTATACCCATACCTTTATGAGTGCGGGCCATCTATAAATTCTTCTGTGACCCACACAATAAACTCACCAAACCCATGTTTCTCACCATAGTTTAAAAAGTGGCAGCCCCACAGGAATTTGCAGTGAACACCCACTAAAATAAAGAGTTTGCCGCACTTTGCGGTGCATATGTTGAAACGGCTGTGGTCTTCCAGGAAAACACACAACTGAAAAATAAGTTGAGACAGCACTTTTGATACATGCGTCTGGACAAACCATCCTGATGGATACAAGGCAAATACCATTTGCTGTTGTCATTATGACTGTGTAATACCTTCACCAGGAACAACCTGTATATCATTACCACACAGGCCTCTGACTGATGTCGGATATGATGCGCCTGTGTCACACCACTGGTGGTAATGACAAAACCACAGAGTAAACCTATGAGCCATTTCAGAGCTATCCTAATTACACTTAACATGAGACCTCAGTAATTCTCTGCCCACTTTGCTCCATATTTCACTCTTTTTTCTACATATTCTGGTTTGCGGTGCGACCAGTGAGGGGTCAGCCTCACTTCCACTGAGGCACAGCTTCGTGCGCCTGTTTGTGTGCATGTTTGGGTGTGTGGGTGTGATGATGGGTGCATCTCACCTGTTATGAGCATGGGATCAGTCACACACGTTACATCACAGCCTCGGGCTGAGTTGTTTACATCCCTACAAACACATGGGGCTATAATGTGACGCCCACACTGACATTTCAGGGATGCGTAATCATTCCGCTGCGATATGTCAAGCTTGTCTCTCAACGACGTCCACATGGTCTTATTTCCGCCAAGTTGCCGTACTACTTCCAGTAAGTTAACGGCCAACATTTAGATCTGAAATGATGTTGTGATGAGACCAGGCGATGTGGAGTGTTTCCGAGACCACCCACTCTCTGGATCGCGCCACTGGATTGTAAACAGCTCAGTCCCACAGCTGAAACTAATAGATATCAGATCCATCACTCCATCAGAATAGATCTACCTCAGACATTATTTCACCAGACTTGCTCTGTTACACGGCAAGTTTTTCAGTTTTCCACATGTGCATGTCATTTATTTTTTGACAGTTGATCATTACGCTGACACAACAACCCACACTCCAGTCTTACAGTTTATACGGCCACGGATGACGTTCTATGGATTTCTCGGAAATGCTCTTTACTTTTTATGATCTCTGATCTGGGGTCATGTATATTTTATTGAGGTATATTAGACTATCAATCAGCCAAACTATGATCACAGAGTAATGCTCGTTTAACGATGATGACAACATCTCATAGAGAAGAAGAGCATTACTTAGGAAATGTAAAAAAACAAGTGTAATTTTGCATCATCTATCTGTTATGAAAGGACTAATGGGGCTAAAATGAAACACCACTCATCAGTTCATGCTTTAAGTGCCCCAAGATGGAAATGTGTGCCAGGAAAAGGACACTGCTCTTCAGAGGTATGGACTCAAGTCACATGACTAGGACTAGAGTCAGACTTTAGACTCAACTTTACCAAAGACCTGCAGCTCCACTCGCACTTTAGCACCAATGACTTGTGACTTCACTTGGAGTATAGCCTTTTGACCTGAAAATATTTGATACCTTCCCCCAAGCCCAGAGATCAAAATGTGTTGTTTTAGAGGTGTGCCACAAATCAGTTTATTTCCCTTTATTACCTGAATCAACCAACCTTCATGCTTTTCATTCCCAAGTGATCCAGCAGCATCCAATCATGTTGCAGGAGAGAACCATGAAGAGCTAACGTCACATTACTGAGTACCAGTGGAAAAAATGATATGACAATTTTGTTCTCCTGCAAAAACTATGTGGGGGGGTCAACCAAAAAA